AATTGCTCTTTTCCCTCCTGGCCTTTTTGCTCCAAAACAAAAAAGGTGGCAGGGTTGTACAGTAGAAGGCAAGAAGTAGGGCTGTGGGTACTGTGTCTGCTTATCTTCTTTCCTAAAGCAACACAAGGGATAAGTCATATTTTCTCCACTGGCCCTCATGTGCTAATCCTCGCCTTGGGGGGGATACCCACATGGCAGCTGACACTACCAGGAGACAGGCCACTCTTTGCTTGCTTAATCTGTGATGAAGGGCATGCAAATGGGACTGTTGATGTCCTGGAAGTTAGGCATGAGCTTGGGTGTTTTGTAAGACCATCAACCTGCCCTGAAGGTACCTAGACTGACTGACTACTTTTGAGACATTTCTTCTCTCAGATCTAGTTTTGGAGATTAAAACATCTTTGGGATGAACCCTGAGACTTATTCACATCAGTTTCTCCCACTTTTTCTGGATGGGATCAACCACAGAACCAAGCCATTGTGGGCTGCTGCTATAAAGGGCTGAGGGGATCTGCTAAAGGGCATGTCCTCATGATTTTGAGAAGTTCATACGTATGAACTCATCTAGCAGACAACCCAGGTCCTACTCAGGAGACCAGAAGCCTGGCATTGGCCCTGTTTTTTCCCAGAATTTACTAGTTTGTGTGCACTCTCTGATTTGCACAGGTAGACATCCACATCAGATCTGGTTTAGAAAATTGGCAGGAGTCTGTAAAACATCCTACAGACCTACATGGAGTGCCTAATATCAGAGAAGGCAAGAACATCACTGCCAAAGGACAGTAGGTCTGTCATTCTTGGGTGATGGTAATACAGCTGGTGAGGGGTGATGTTTGCAGGTACCAAACTCAGGGGTTTTACAGCCCTACCCTGCCTGGGAGAGAGATTAGGAAACTTGACATATCATTGTTTCTTAACTTTTACAGCTTTGTGTTCCATCTCACTGCAGAAAGAACATCCCCATGAACACCAACACAGCATTATCAGTGGTCCTAGTGGTCCACTTTCAAGTGGCTATTGCTTGGTCTATTAATTAGTTACAGTGACATAAGCCATTACTCCCTTCCAGAATAATGACAAAGGTATCCCATAGAAACTTTCAGCCTTCAGACACAGAGAAAATTAGCTCCTGTGTCAACAGATGTATATCTTCCAGGAAGGATGGTGTAAATCCAGTGAGGACAATGGCTGAACCAAAGATAAAGTGGGTTTTGAGAGGCGTTAAGTGCATGACCCTTAAAAAAAAGACAGTTTATCCCCAGATCTGTAAGCCACAAAGAACAGATAAGCAGAGAGACAGAGAGAGGCAGATAGGCAGCAAAAAAGAAAGTAGACTGATTTGAGGAATTTGATGGAAAACTACACCAGAAAAAAACATGAATGACACTGAATCACAAAGAACTGGCCAAAAGACCACTGTAACACACGACTGTAAGTGCTGTTGGGTGTATTTATGCGGAAAGATGTAAGCAGTAGCCACAGGTGTGGATACATTTATGTTCTAATTTGATCTTGTTGGGGGCACGAGGTTGTTAATATATTGAATTTCCATAGCGGGTTTATATTGGTGCCTGTATGTATGAAAGGGTAGCTAATGAAATAATCACAGTGAATAATGCATTCATTTAATTCAGCTTTTTCTGCTTCCTAAATATCCACAAACATCTCACGGATTCATCTAGTGTGTTCACTGGAGCCTGGATTTTGCTACCTTCTATTGAACCATGCTTTACACCACACACAGCCCAAAGAGCAGGAGCACTGCTTCCAATGTGAAACATTCCCAGATGAAGGGCAATCTGGATCTGATCCTATTTTAATGTAGCTATTATCTTTTCAATTACTTTCTTCTCTGCACTGACAATCCAGCTCCATTACACCCCACCAGGACAGTCATGCAGAGAATATTTCACACAAGGTATTGGGGCAAATTTTCTCAAGTCTTCTCTATAATCAAGGGAGAGATAAAAGAAGTAAAGGTCCTCTAAGGGGCAAGTTGGAAAACTAAACAAGGCTCCCATCTCTCTGCAGTAGTTACAGAGAAAACCAAGGGAGATTAAACTCAGCGGGCTAAAATTAACCTTTGCGAATACACCCTATAGTCTCGTTCTTCTTCCCTGGCCACGTGAGCACAGAAAGGCTTCTGGAATAAATTCCGGCTGAATAAATTTAAAATTCATTTTAAAAGCTCCTGTGTCTCACATTAAAACATTTGTTTTTAGTAGCACTCCCGTCAACAGAGCTCAAACACTGTTGGTGCAGCTGACCACGAATGGAGACCGTTCGTCTGGGAGACACCTGCATGGTTTTCTCCCACTCCTGGACAGGAGTTGGGGTAGTTTTGTGCTTTTCTTCATCTCTCCAGGTAATCACACCCAACTCTCTACAGCCTGGTTTTGTGATATATCTATAAAGTCATTGCCATTAGAAGGTCAATATTTTCTGACGGATGTGACAAAAGTAATCATAGGAATTTCCTCTGCTAAGTATAGGGCAAAACCTGTCGTGTCTCGGGTATTATTTTGTGGAAACTTTTAGTACTGATCTATTTGTGCCAAGCGATTTGCATTATATGTGCTGGGCTTCCCTTAGTGTTCAATAGGTCTTTTTTTTCCCCTCATTTTGTGTTTTTTTTTTTCCCCTTTGTTTTTACAACACTGAACCATACTTCTTGCCTCTGCTAAAGGAAATACAATGTTTCTTTATACCATCTCCTCAGATCCAAACATCTCCAAGGCTGTTACTCATTCTGATTCTCTTCAGATCTACCTTCCAACACGGTTCCCAAGCCCAGGCCAGAAGCGGATAGCTAAAGGGAAGGGGCATCAGAGCTCTCAAAAGTGCTCCTGCACTCTCAGCGGGTGCACTTCGAAAGGAGGACAAAATCATCGAGCACAGAGAAGGCTTAAAAGTGCTGCACACACACACATGGACACGAAAGAGGGGAGGAAAAAAAGAGAAAAGAAAGACAAAAATAAAGAACATCAGAAAAATAACTTTTTTTTTCTTTTTTGCTTTGTCGGTTTTGTTTTCAAAGTACAGCTATGAATGTGATCAATAACCAGTTGATGTATATTAAATAAGATCATTCTGTATGCAGTTTAGATTAGAGAGGGAGAGACTGATGGACAGTAACTCTCTGCTCTGCTAATCTAATAAACCATTTATTTCAGTGATGGCTTTCAAGTGCAATTATCTTGCTCCAGACACTGCCTGCAGTTTGGGTATTTTCTTAAGCTCTCTCTTTGTCAAGAAGGCATCATCCAGAATAAAGCACTCACTTGTTAGCAGCAGCATTAAGCAATACACCAAGGTCACTTCGTGTACCTGTTCAGCCCAGCAGCAACTGATACCTCTGATCATCCAAATGTGCTTAAATCTCCTTTTATTATCATGACACGGCATGGCTCAGGCATTGAGATTCCTCTCTCTGCTGCACCAAGGGACCACACCGCTTGGCCATGTCAACATTGCTGATAAAACATGAACTTTAATGGGTTCCTGTGTTTCTCCCCTAGCTGGAGAAAAGCTTGTTTCTACCCTCAGTTGTGCTGCCATCACTCAATTAAAAACCACTTCCACCTGAACTAGTCAATAGTGCAATGACAGAAATATTGAACCTCATCTGTATTTTCTGCCTCTACCTTCTGAGAACAAATTTTAGGACCCAAGGCTTTACAACAATGCAGTGGATAAAGCACTTATCCTCTCTATGAAGCCTAGGAATGCAGAAAACAAGGCGACAGGTACTTATGCTCCCTCCACTTTCATAGACAGGGTATACCCTGTATCTTCTCCATCAGCCTCCTAAGCTTTTAGGCTCTGCCTGTAGCTATGGTGCAAAGGCATCGGAACGTCTCTTGCTCTCCTTGTCTTTTAGGAAACAACTTTTTCCTTCAAGAATATGATTGTTATTCACAGTGATAAATCAAATGCCGCCAATGGACAAGTGAAACTACACAACCCTACCTTTCCTACCAGCAGGTAAGGAGATTGTTTCCACTGTAAGAGCAAGTCAAGTAAGGCAGTGGAAAATAACATTACTAACATCAGTAGCCAGGCCAACCTGGGCGTTTGATTTAACTCAGTGTCAGTGTGCCATTTCTGTCCTTTGCTTGGAGCATGGCATAGCTCAGGGATGAAGTCTGGGAAGTCTACAGACCTATTTCTCAAACTGAAGATGAAGGTGGGGGGGGTGACCCATCTTGCTGGAGCCAAAGACAAAAATAACCATTGTCAACAGAGTTTGGAGGTAACTCAACAAAGAACCCTGCATGGTAGCTACCACCCCAGCCAACCTCTAGTAAGATCAGGGTGATAAGAACTGGGGAGACAGCTGTTCAAGTTATACTAAAAAGAAAACCAGGTAACACTAGCCCCAAGATTCAGGGATGGAGTCTGGGGTGGTGGCTGTGGAGAGGACAAAGAACCTCAGGTTGCATCAGAAATTTTTTCTTGCAGAAGACATACCTTTACTTACTAGTCATCCTCTTTACATATCCATCCATCTACTAATTTGTTCACTGATAGACCTCCAAAAACCCTTCCCTTAAAAGTATCACATATCTACTGTTCCTCAGCCACCTGCCAGCCATTAGACGTGACTTTTCTATTACACAGCCCATGCTGCATGCCAAACTCAGCAATGATGAAGAGCTGCTTTCTCTAGGAGTTACTGAGAAGAGTCACTTTGCTCTCCCTTATCTTTGTGAGTATACATCAGCCTGGACTGAAGCCATTTTAACAAAGAGATGAACTTCTAACCTTGCTCCATAGTAACACAGTGCTGTTTATTGTATCTTTTGTCTCTGCTACAGTGAATGACAAGGCAGAGAGATTAAACCAACTGGTTTTTTTTTCTTTCATTTGGCTTAAATCTACTTTTGCTTTTTGTTTGCATCTCCAATCTCTCTTTGTATTCCTTGTCTGGTTATTGATCACAGTCTTGGGTGTTGGTTTTTTTTTTTCATTCTTTACTTAGATGTATTGATAAGGCATACCCTGCCCGTTCCTTCAGTTTCTTATCTGTTATTCCATCTTTGGATACAAGTTTGTTAAAAACCAGAATGCCAATAACCATGTTCACCTGTCGAAAGAGAAACAACACACAGTTTTGTTCTTAAGTAAGTCAAGTCAAACTCCGTAGCACAGAAGGAAAAAATCCTAACATTTGTCAAGTTTAGTCCTTCCTGTTTCTCCTGAAGGACAGTCACACTTCTGCAGGCCACCACCCATTCTGTCCCCTCTCCACCCTCGTCCTACCTCCCCTGGCCATGCACCAGTGAGTTCAGGAGAGCAGAATGCAGCTGGCAGCAGATCAGAAAGGTGTCCATGCTTGAAGTCTAGCAAGGCAAACTCCGGGCACAATAATAATTTTTCAGGGTAATACAAATAAAAAGTGTCCAATACAGGGGAGACCAATGGGCTGACACGGGCTACTTGCAAAAGTGCCTTCTGGAGTCTGTGTTACCAGAGCAGCAGCATTAAGAAGATGGGGCAGTGCAGTGCAGACAGATTGCCATAATAAGAGGTGGAGGGCCACTGGAGCAAGTAGAAACACCAGCTGCTATGGTGGGATGTCTTGGGAGATGCTGCAGATGGCACAGCACATAGATTAGCCCCTTAGTCGTTTCCAAAAAAAATCAGTGTGCAGGACAACTGCATGCAGCCCTTCGGTCTGCTTTGTTAGGGTGAGAGCATGGATGTCTGTATCAATCAGGTAGGTATAAATATTCAGGCTGTACAGAGCTGAGGTCTTGCAAAGTGATCCTAAACTCCTCCCTGTGCCTTTCTGACTGCATTCACTGCTGCCAGCTGCATCTGTTTTACAAATCTCATCCAAACCTCAGCAACCTCTGAACTTGAACAATTAGTGGCATACGAACACCACCCTCTTCATGGAGGCACAGAACTGATGGTGGAAAAAAGTGACACTCTCCTGGTTTATTTGTCAGTGAAACATCTGGTGTTGGTAGAACAATGTGCTAGAAGCTCTTTTGCATGTGGGGCTTGCAAGGAAATGTTTAAGGACAAATTGACACTGGCACAGGTTGCCAAGGGAAGCTGTGGATGCCCCATCACTGCAGGTGTTCAAGGCCAGGCTGGATGAGGCTTTGAGCAAGCTGGGCTAGTGGGAGGTCTTCTGCCCATAGCAGGGGGGTTGGAACTAGATGATCTCTAAGGTCCCTTCCAACCCAAACCATTCTATGATTCTATGTTTCCATAAATTCAGAGATGTGCAACATTACATGTTAGCTGAGAGCGTTGGTGAGTTTAATAGACCCTTGAGAGGTGGTCCTAAGAGACACCTAGTACAACACCTAGCCCAAAGGAAGGGGGATGTCTGCTCACACCAAGCCTCCATCTAGTTGCCTAAATCATCCCCAAGAATGGGCAATATCTTGGATTGCTGTTTTTAGCAGGACATGACCCAGCTCACCAATGTGGAGTCCGCAGCTGGGAATACATGGAAGATCTCAAAAATAGCAGTTATTTTCTTTTTCATCAGCTGCTGGGTCAGTGGATGACTTTCCACAGCTGCGAGTCCATTTCTAGAGCTCACCATTGTATTGTTTTAGAGAAGCAATACTGGCAAGTCAGATGCAGTAACTCAGCCAAGGATCAGATGTGGTAACTCAGCCGCAGGAAATCAAACCCTAGTTATGTGCTTGGAGAGAGAGAGCACTTTCAATTCACTGATCCTTCTTCACTGTACTAGAGGCTGGTGAGTGCAAGTCAGACTTTTCTTTAAGGTGCAGCAAGGCAATACAAAAGATGGGGTTGAAGTGCAGCAGGCTGGATTGGTCCTGGGGCTGCCCACAACACAGCACGTATCCTCATTCATATATAGCAAGGGAGATGACAAAATGTAGCTCTGCAATTGTTTTAATAAATAAGAGCTATTTTATCAACATTAGTGGACTGACTGCAAGTTGTAAATATTGCTGAAGCTGCAGGACAACCATCTTAACGATATTATTTTGACTAAAGTTATTCTCCAAGCCAAAAGGCTTTTTCCAATGTGGAGAATAATAAGGGAAGGCATAGAGGAAAAAGGTTACTATAGGTGATAGAAAAATCCTGTTGATAGGAGAACTGCAGCACAGAGATGCTTGAATGGCTTAGGAGAAGTGAGCACAAGTCTAGCCTGGCCCGGGCTAAGGTAGAGGTAACAAGCTCAGCTGGAGCCAAGTCAGCTGTGTGCAAAGTCACCTGTGCATCTATATATTGAGGCTGTTCAGCCTGGAGAAGAGAAGGCTCCAGGGTGACCTTATAGCAGCCTTGCAGTGCTGAAAGGGGGCTGCAGGAGAGATAGGGAGGCACTCTTGATCAAGGGGTGTAGCGATAGGATGAGGGGTAACGGCTTTAAGATGAACGAGGGGAGATTTAGATTAGATATTAGGAGGAAGTTTTTCCTGTTCTGGTGGTGAGGCACTGGCACAGATTGCCCAGAGAAGCTGTGGATGCCCCATCCCTGGAGGCGTTCAAGGCCAGGCTGGATGAGGCTTTGAGCAACCTGGGCTAGTGGGAGGTGTCCCTGTCCATGGCAGGGGGATTGGAACTAGATGATCTTTAATCATCTAGTCCCACCTTGATCTGTGCACCCCTGCACAACAGCAGCCATATTGTCTCTGGAGCAAATCTGTCCCGAGAGCAGCACAGCTGCATGTCCCCTGTACAGCCCTGCAAGAACCTGACTGTCCTTATGTTGAGCCAAGTTAACTGTCCCTCCATTGCTGACGTGGTCAACCTGAAATCAGGACAAAGCACATCAAGAATGGACAGCTGTCCAGTCTTGTGGACAGTGCATGCTTGAGAATTGTGTGTTTAACGTCTTGATCTGCTACAAACTCAGTGTAAATTTGGGCAACTTATTGAGCTTATCTGTTTTCCAGGTTCCCATTTACAAAAAGGCTTTCAGTGCTGCTTCTTCTCCTCCTTCCCCAAGCTCCTCAGTGTATATACCAACTTGAGCAGCATTCACTTCTCACCTTACCCAGGAATGAGTCAAGTAGTCTAAACTAGGTGTGTAAGCTCTCTCTCCAGGTACTAAAGGAAGACAGACACCTCCAGAGATGATTCACTACTTCTTAAGATCAGCTGGATGAACCACCATTGGCAGGTGTTGACCTCTCTGTAAGGACATCTCAGTTTCCAGCTTCGATGGTGAGTGAAACCTGAGATGCCAAATGGAAGCAGGCTCATGTGTTTTTCTCACACTCTAAAAATTCCAAGGAAAGATGAAGGATTATTTCCCTTGTTGTTGGCACAACAAAAGCAAGGTGGCTTGAGGCAGCAGGTTGATTCCCCTTTCTCTGGGCACTATTAAAGCTCCCTCCCTCCTAATCACTGCTATATGTTGAGCCTTCAAGCTGCTGAGCCAGAGCTATCAGCTGTTATGTTGTTGGGGCAAAGAACTAGTTCATCCCAAAGCACTAAGCCACTTAATGCGCTTGTCAATTATCCTGGCTCTAAAGAAGACCCTGACCCCCATTAGCTACATTACTGAGGAAATCCAACAATCACATGCCTACAGAGATCTAATGACTGGTTGACATGAACATCTACTTATCCCCACTCTTTGCTGACTGCTATCTGAAGGCTCAACTATGTGTCTCAGCCCTACACTAAAGAAAGACCCTAAATTCTTGACAGACTTTTTAAAAGGGCACGTAAAGACAGAACAGGGGGTAATGGATTTAAACTGGAAGAGGGCAGATTTAGACTAGATATTAGTAAGAAATTTTTCACTGTGAGGCTGATGAGACACTGTCCCAGGTTGCCCAAGAAAGTTGTGGTGCCCCATCTCTGGAGGTGTTCAAGGTCAGGTTGGATGAGGCTTTGAGCAACCTGGGCTAGTGGAAGGTGTCCCTGCCCATGGCAGGGGGTTGGAACTCGATGATCTTTGAGGTCCCTTCCAACTCAAACCATTCTATGGTTCTACAATAAATTATACAAGCTTTGCTTTATTAGAGAGGAGGGACAACCGCTGGCTCGTCTTTTTGCCATCATGATGAAACGATAGCGCCAAGGTGGTTTGATGTGAGGTGACAGCAGTGAGAAGAGAGGCAGCAAGAGCTTTGGTGTAGTTACTCTCCTGTAAACCTGCTCCTCGTGCTGCAGGGCAGTTAACCCTCCAGGCACTACATGAAACAAAAACTTGATTCCAAAAAGAAATTGCAAATGTCAACAATCCCATTCCTGTGGGACCCTCCAGGGCACTTGAGCCTTAGAGGACATCAACTCCTCCAATGGGTAAACCTCTGGGCTGGAGAGCAACTGCAGACTGTCACACGTGGGGGCTTAAATGTGGCATCGCATCTGTCTGAACTTGCTGCAGGAGGGATTTCCTAGAGGACTGGCAGTTCTCAAATGCTTTGAAGCCTGACAGCCAAGATTCCTCATGACCACTGAGGCTTCAACAGCAGGGAAGCTTGACGAAAGGTATGTCATCTCTTGAGTGACACCTTCAACTCAAGTAATAACTGGCCAAGACTGGCTTTGGTGCTGCATTGGAGCCCAGGGTGAGGGGAGAGTAGAGCAGATTCCCACCATGCATGAGCTGGTGGAATATTCAATTTTATAGGAATTTTAGGAATATTCCATTTTAGGAATTGAATATATTTAAGAATATTCAGTTTAACCATGTTGTTAAGTTTAGGAATATTCAATTTAACCATGTCGTCTCTTTGAACTAGAAGCAAACATGACATTTTTAGGGTCACAAAGGATCCCCTCGGCACTGATTTGAAGACATTTCACCTGCAAAAAAAGGAAGCTGCTCATATGCACTGGCCACCAGGAATAAATTCTGGCTCTGGAGGCACAGCCTAGTCTGAGAGCAACCAGTAACAGCAGTTTCTGAAGGAGTGAGTGTCAGAGTTTTCCACCATCATCGTGCACTTCCATCTAGACAGGGCAAAACCAAGGTAAAGCATTAACCAGATGTCTAGAGGACTCCAGACTGGACAGAGGTGGAAGGCTGAGAGCTGACACATATTATATGGTGAAATCAAACCCATGCCAAATTGCTGGCTTGTAACATTTTGCTCTTCATTCTTGAAAGAGAAAGCTATTCAAAACACGAATGGAAATAAAGAGCGGCATTCTTGGGTTGAAAGAACAAGGAAAGTGCTATAAGATACAGAGGAAAAAAAAAATGCTTTCAGCCAAGCTTAAATACCAAAACGACAGCAGCTGCAGGTCCCACGAAGGCATAGAGAAGACCTCCCTCTAACGACAGCCAGCAGCTGGAAAATGAAGAGAGAAAAGAAAGTTACCCAGTGGCTAGTATCACTGACAGGTGCATGTTTGCTTCTTCTCTTCACCTGCAGAGTTCATCTTGGGCGGTAATACCTCATGGCAAAAAAGTCTTAGACTTTACAGTAAGCAAGTTTTGTTTCCTGTCTCTCCTGAACTTGCACAAAGTCTTGTTTGCCTGGGGGTCTGCCTGTGGAATGACATCTGATCATCGACACAAGAATGCATGCAATATTCATGACAGTGCTCTGTTTCAATCCAGATCCTGGAAGCAGTTGCATTAGTGCAAGATCGAGATGATGCTCTTGTCCTACTCACTCAGGCAAATGATTAGAAATAGGAGATTGTCTCTTGCTCATTTGCTAACCACTATTCCTGACAGGGGCTCAGGTCCAGGAGTGTAGTACATTTGGACTTGTTCAGCCTGGAGAAGAGAAGGCTCCAGGGTGACCTTATAGCAGCCTTGCAGTACTTAAAGGGGGCTGGAGGAGAGATGGGGAGGCACTCTTGATCAAGGGGTGTAGCGATAGGATGAGGGGTAATGGTTTTAAGCTGAAAGAGGGGAGATTTAGATTAGATATTAGGAGGAAGTTTTTTACTGTTCTGGTGGTGAGGCACTGGCCCAGGTTGCCCAGAGAAGCTGTGGATGCCCCATCCCTGGAGGCGTTCAAGGCCAGGCTGGATGAGGCTTTGAGCAACCTGGGCTAGTGGAAGGTATCCCTGCCCATGACAGGGGGGTTGGAACTAGATGATCTTGAAGGTCCCTTCCAACCCAAACCCTATGATTCTACAATTCTACTATTTCTCCTCCTGGATCCTCCCTTTGAGATTGCTGCCATGGGGAAATTTTACAACACAGCAGCAAGGTGGGAATTCATAACACTCCTTAAGTGGATGCTCTCAAGGAATGAGCGGATCATGAGGTGTCCAGTACCTCTTCTGGAAACCAGCTTGTTCCTTCTCCCTCACACCATGTTCCTGAGAAGGACTTCTCTTTTCTTCTCTGACCACATGTGGAATTTAGTCTTCTGAACTGCCTGGTGCCTACACAAACTGAGGGGGCTCTTCTGACTAAGGGCTGATGTCTGCCCTGTTGGTGCCTTCCACAGGGTTAGTCACTCTTGACGACATTTCTAGTCAGCAATGATCCAACCCAAAAAGTCCAGGATGAGGCACCTACATTCAATCAGATGAATCACATCTTGAACTCCATTGACTGCCTTGACCAGATCTTCACCATCCAAGTAAGCAGTGTGCCTAACTCAGATGGAGAGATTGCTGGGGAGATGAATCCCATCTCTCATGTAAACAGTATGAATATCCTCCAGGTGCCCCCACAGAGCTCCTACTGCACCGTACATTCACATGAAGATCTCACTGCACGCAGACCTCTCCATGCTGACAAACTTTGTGGGAAAAAACCAAGCAAAGAGAGGCAGGAGAAATCTCACCCTGTTTCCATCCTCAGAGCTGAGCATCACAGAGTGCCTGCATAGCCAACAGGGATTTTCAGGTTTGATGGTAAAATCAAGAAGGAAGCACTTTTTCACTGTGAGAGTGACCAAGCATGGTAAAGGATGAGCAGAGGGGTTGTGGAGTCTCCATCCTTGGAGACATTCAACAGCAGTCTAGGCATGGTCCTGAGCAACCAGCTCTAGGTGACCCTGCTTGAGCAGTGGAGTGGTTGGGCCAGATGGCCTCCAGAGATCCCTTCCCACCTCAACCAGCCTGTGACTCTGCGACAGTCATGAATGGTTACAGTAGCAGTGGAGCTGACATTTCAATTTTGTGGGCAATCCAGCAATTCAGACCAGGGACACACAAACTAGGTACTTCAGGGCAAGAGAGGGAGGATGCAAATTTATACTCTGTCAGCAACCCCATGGAAAGTTTTAATGTTTTGACATCGCAGTACCCTGGAGAAAATGTGTGATGAAGTAATCCTGTTTCAGCAGTAAACAACCATGGCTTTACCACAGGATAAGAGCAGGCAACCACAATGGAGCAAGGACTTTCTCAAAGCTCTTAACCCAGATAACCCTGCAGTAATTCAGTTATGTGACGGTACTCTCAGCAATATGGTTTCATTCTGCATCAGATGCAAACCGATGCTGCCTTTCAGAGTCTCCCAGGAAACAAAGCCTTCCTGGAAACATTTCAATTTGGTTGATCAGCCTCATATGTTCTTGTATCAATTCTGACTTGTAAAAAATGTTATTTTTTCACCCCAAAACACAGAACAGTTGGGAAAAGAAAAAAAAAAAAAAGAAGAAGTATTTGAAATTGAAAATTGAAAGCAGCACATTCTGTTTTTCTCTAAGGCCTGCATCTTGTTTATTTCTAAATTAGACCTGTAATGTGTTAATTTAATCAATTCTGATTTCTTCCTGGTAGCAAGTTGCTCTGTCACAAACTGTTGGAGCAGCTGTAATAATAAAACGAATAATCAGTTGGGGAGGCAGGGAATAAGAATGAAGCTTTGGATGGCTGCAATAACTGGAGGTCTCCCTAAATGCAAGGAGAGGACAACAAGAATCAGGAGGGCTCCCAAATCCCCAGCCTTGGCCAGACTTTTTTTCCAATGCTCCATCTTAATTTTGAGACCATTTTTTTCCAGGGTCTCTTCCAACTGACAGCTTAGCTGAAGAAAGGAGCTGACAGTCCTGTACTCCAATTAGCAATGAGGACTCTCATTCATGTCAGGTCTCTGGCAGCCCTTCCTCCCTTCTGAGCATCAAGCTTTCTGAAGGCAAGTTCACACATCACCAAGCACTGGTCCTTATCCCTTTTGATGGCCCGACCTCCCTGTCACAGCGCTTAATTGAAGAATTTCCAAGACTGTCAGAGGTGGTGGCTGACAGCAAGGGAAAGGAAAGGGTGGGGTGGTACCTGAAAAGGGGAATCAACAGCAAACTCCACAATATGTTAGGTTAGTGGCGATGCTTTTAGCCTTGTTCCTACAAGACACATGAATATTTGCGTTTTGCTAAGAGATTCCCCAGTACTTGCCAAAGGATCTCTTTATAGATCTCTTAAATAAAATTACTACTAGAAGGGAGTAAGTTAACAGTTTAACAAAGCTCTGCAGCTCCAGACTACTATTTTTAGGTAATTTCCCCAGCTGTCAGCAGGTCTTGTGTTCAACACAAAAGACCTCTTTGCAAAACATCTGAACCTTTTATGAATCTGTCACAGCAAAGATGTGAGATGGATGGCTTTTGTCTTGGTCCTGGGGAGAGCTGACTTTCATGGAGACCTTCTTGACTACACTGTACAGCTCTGCCAACAACAGGTCTCACCTCGATCGTGTCCAAAATTAAGCAGCCCCGATGCAACAGCCAACATATTTGTATAACTAAGACTACAGGCGGGAATCAGGGCTGTCCCAGCAGTGTTGATTTAGAGATCAATATAGAAGCTGCTGAAATACCTGTGGGTGACAGAGGTGTTCATGGAATGACACACAAGGACCCCCTGAAATTTTCAGTCTTGCTCTCAGAAAACTTTTTGTGGGCTCTCTCGTGGGGAAGAATATGAGTTCCCAGCTACCAATAGCACAACCTCAATTATTCAGTTCAAGCTTTAGAAGGCAGTTTGTCAAGCTTTAGAGGTTCAGAGTCAGTCCCTGGAGTACCAGCTAAAAGGAGAGTTATTATTCAGGCATTCAGCTTAATACAAGGAGGTGAGCAGTGATGGGTCCTCTAGACCTCCGTTATCTCTAAGACTTTCTCTGAGACTGGAAGTACAGCCTGTACCCTACCCAAGCAGCTCTCACAACAAGTGTAAAATCTCCTTTCAGCTGCTGTTCAGATATGAAAAAAGAAAAATCCCCTTGTGTCCTCCTCGTTTCATTGTAGATGAGAGTTCATAGCACTCCAGAAGAAGTGACCTGAGCAATAATGTCTGTCTTTGATCTTTCCGCATTGCAGCTTGAAGACATGGCCAGCCCTTTGACTGCTGCCACATCTTGATAGGACAGACCTCCATACTGCTGCTCAGTTGTGTTTTTATCATTATAGAATAGCTTCATCCCATGTCCGAAAAAAAAGACAGGACAAAACTGGATGAAATCTTGCTTAGGGCCCAGGTAGATCACCCTGTTGGAGGTTCCTCCCTTAACTTGCTCAATTACAGTTGACCATCTTGGTGTACCCTGCAGATGAACTGTTTCAGTGATCGTGACACAGAGACTCGTTATGCATTTCATGCACTGTCCCTTCCACCAGCTTTGCCCTGGATGTCTGTAACATCCAGATTAGTGCTGCAATGCCTTCAACAGCTGTCCCCAAAATGCTCTCATGACCATATCCCATAGATGAATGTCAGGTTTTTTTTACTGCTGTGAGTTGAGAAAAAAATGATGTTGAGTGTCAAATTCACTGCTCAGCTAAATATCAGAGCCCTGCTTTGTCTTAATGCCCATCTGCACAAAAAAACAACAGATGCTAATGCACTGCTCTTGGGATCCAGAAATTGCAGGGTTGGAAGAAGCTTTGAAAGATCCTGTGAAGTCCCTAGTGGTTTATCATGTCAGCTCTTCTGCCCTGCTTCACAGGGAGGGATGTGTTGTAGCTAATGTCTTTCCTTCCTTCTGCAAGATGTGAACTTTGTGCCTTGAAAGTCTGCCACCACCCATTTGAAATGCCCTGTGTATGTTTTATACTAAGTAGAGACAAAGCTAAAATAGCTCCTGAGCTCTAGCTTCAAGCTTTGCGACTACCTCACACATGTCTGCAATGGTCAGAAACCAAAAAACACCCTGGGACAAGCTTTGTTCCACGTCTGTACTCTGTTTATATGCCTTTAGCATTAGACAGTGTTAAATTTAGGTCTGAACAACCTTGACTTTTGGAGTTGAGCTCTAAAATTAATGCCGTGTAATACCAACTTTGCTCTAGAGAAGAGGTGAAACTAAGGGCCTCCCCACACATAAATGTAAGAGAGCTTTTATGACTTTTGAGCACGAAAACAGGGATAAGTGTGAATGCAGCACCACAGTCTGTCAGGGCACCTCGCCCAGCTTGGTCCACATTAATATTTGTTTCCCATCTTAAAATGCACCAAGGTGCAAATGCAACTCTTGTTACGGCGATGCTCAGCACCACTTTATGCTCAGCACCACTTTATGCTCAGCATCATGGCTCATGAACCCATCCAATTGCCCCTTGCTATATGGAAGCAGGGCAGGGACTTAACCAGAACCCACAGGGACATCCACGGTGCTTGGGGCAGAGGTGCTGGCTCAAGTGCATGACTGCAAATTAGCTCTGTCTAGCTCTGTCTCTCTGTAAAGCTTTTTTAATTACGAGAAGATGGCGGTGTTGGGAACACCTGATGGGCTCTCTGTGGTTGAGAACTGTTTCTCCTCTCACAACTTTGCTGGGACTCACCAGCTGGGCTGCAGCATGGAAGGAAGATGAAAGGAAGACCAAACTGCACTTGCCAAGGTGCAAAGGCCCCCCTGCTATTTTGGTGACAAGCACCCTGACAGCAAAGCAAGGAAACGGTGTCACTTGGGCTGCAGGTACTGCTGGGAGCAGAGGATTCCCCGTCATCCCCCAGGCAGGCAGCCAGCCCTTGCATTCAAGGAGTGACAGCTTTGTTAAGGCTGAAAGGAGTCAGAGGATTAGCAGCAAAAGGAGGAGAGCTGGTGTGGTTAAGTATCCCCTGGGAATGATGGAAAGTCAGCACAGCCTGTTGGTCACCTAGTTGGTGTGCCAACCTGAGAGCAAAGCAGGACTCCAGAAGGTTTTGTCACACACTGACACCCTTTTGGCTGCAGCCTGGGGGGGCTTTGCTGTGGGGCAGGGAGATGTTGGCATGCATTGGTCCAGGGCAGTGCAATAGGGTGTGCTTTCCTGCATATTCCTCCCTTTCACCCCTGCCAAGCTCTTTTGTGCAGTCAACGTTGACCACAAAACCCTGTGGTGGCCCTTAAGCATTAATGAGGAAGGAGCCACTGAGCTTTTTGCATGAATTCACACAAGTCTATAAACAAGGAAAGAAGCAGAAATATTTAGGGCCTTCTTCCATTCCCCTGATGCTTTTTCGTTATGAATTAGAAGAAAGTTGTGGATGCCCCATCGCTGGAGTTCAAGGCCAGGCTGGATGAGGCTTTGAGCAACTTGGTCTAGTAGAAGGTGTCCCTGCCCATGGCAAGCAGGTTGGAACTAGGTGATCTTTAAGGTCCCTTCCAATGCAAACCTATGATTCTATGATTATTCTCTGGGACTTGTCTGGAGGAAAGCCCCAGAAATAGCAGCCCCACAGGAAAGCTTTGGGATCTCTTTGGTACTTCCTAAAACCAGGCTGTGTGTGTCTTCTTCTGAGTCACACAACAAGCACTGGATCCCTCTCTACCAGGACACACCAAAGGCAAGTCACCTGAGCTTGGGCAAGTAAGTCAGGACAGGTACAACCAATGCATCCTAATGCCAGGCTTCAGGAATTGTATCTATGGATTTGCATTTGACAAACCCGATTTCCTGAGCCCTCTGTATTATACAGTAACTTAGACTGCAGTAATTTAGAGTGCAAAGCAAATGGAGAATGCCGTTGTGTTGTTTTAACACTGTCTTGTGCTGGATCATTTGGTCGTGGGTGTGCAGAATATGGTGAGAATACAGAAAGAGCAGGGATTCCACATGACATTTTGTCAGTGGACCTATCAAACCTTCATCTGTTGATCACCATATCTCTAGCTTTTGTCTTAAACACTGTTCGTCTGGCATGCAAACCACTGGGCAGGAAGGCTCTGGATAATGATGGGTTGCAGTAGGGAAGGGCCTGATTTATTGCTACATAAAATATTATCCTTTGGCTGCCGCTATGCACAAAATTTCTAACCCATCTTTTTAACACAGTGAAAAAAATAGCACTTTCTTCTTTTTTTTTTTTTTTTAAGTTGTAGTAATGCTCAGGTCTAATTCCAGCTTTGCCTTAATGGATTTTTCACTTCTTCACAGTCTTATTCTGTTATTTCCACCCTGCCTTCTTTCTCCCATTACATGCAAATAGAAGTTTCCTAAAGGTAAATCCTGTGGAATCCAGAAAACAGGCAAATTCAGGTTGCTTTCAAAAACTTGGTTTGATAAACTCGTGCTCATTACAGTGCCTAAACCTGAGATAAGCTATTTTGAAAACCTGGAACCAATCAAGCAGACTATTAAATAGATAAACACAAATGCTATTTTTAATTTAATTTTTAAACATCCTAAACTTTAAATATTCTGCATTTATAAAAAATAAATTAAAAATATCTCTATGTAGGAGATATTTAGATTAAAGTGATGTCATATATGCAACAGTTAAATCTAATGAGTTCCTATGATCTTCTTTTTAAAGGAATATACAATCCACCTGAAGGCTTGAGGAAGCAGGGAGGTGGGATGGCTCCTTCCTCTCCCATCATCCCTGCTTCCCTCTGCCGTGGGCAGCACACCACAATTTAGCTCCTATCCCAGCTCCTGCAGGTCAGTGGCTGGGTTTTTGACAAAAAAAGATGTAGAGTGAGACAGGAAGAAAAAGGAAGAGATCCTTTACTCACTAGTTCACGGTGCCGTACCCCTTGGCTTTAGTAAATCCCACAGAAATGGCAACTACCAAGGCGGGGAGCCCTACGAAAATGAAAGAAGAGAAAATTGGTCATTTACGCATATGTGCAGCTCTTCTCCCACTCAGCTGCATAATATACTCCATTCTTCCCAGTGTTATTCTAGCACCATCTGCCCCAGCCTGGGTCTTTGGCACAGACTGAATTCAGGACCTTCAGAGCCAAAAGCACGTACCCTCGTTACTTCTGTTAATGAAGTAAATGCCATCAGCTGTAATCAGCTCATATCCTGCTGTTATCTTAGCAGTTGTGTGGGGACTAATAGCACATGCAGATGTGTAAAATGTTCTTATTTTATTCTTAGGTACACAAGCTGGCGAGGAATATACCAGGCTGTCTCCTGAAGATGCAATATTCAGCCACAACCCAACCCAAAAAAGGCAACAAGGAGGAGATTAAGGGCTATGTTTGTTTTCAACATAATGCACAACAAACAACCCGGGTTCAAATCTTAGCCCATATGATACAGAAAAGGAAATGGAAACTGAGTTCCCCCTATGCCAAACAGGTCCTCTAAGTGCTAGGCCATGATCTAAAATAGAGTGGGTCCCTCTAAACAGCAACAGAAAAGAGCATCAGAACATCAGGTCTTTCTGCAAACCAGGATTATTCTTCTCTTGCCAGAGACCTACTCCCTTTTTGTGTCCAAAAGGGGAATAAACTAAGAGAAACCAGCTGCCCTCGTGAAAACGCACTTCATTCCGAGCATCGCAAAGGCCAAGCAAAGTTAGTCTGTGGCGGGGACCCCACAACTTACAAAGTACAATTTATCGTCAGAGCATCACAAGCTAAGAGTGCCAGCACAGGATGTCATCTTAGGCTCCTAAGGGGCTGAAGCTATGGCCTTGATCTTACTGCTAGAATCGCCCATAAAATTAGAGGGAGGGGTATAATGAAAATCTGTGGGTTTATTGCATAACTTGCTGGTTATTGGCTTAAAACTCACAAAAAAGTTATGAGATTGTTGGGTCCTTGAACACCTAGGCACAATTAGAACTAGCAAAAAACACTACACCTTACTTCTGATCCTTCTTATCCCTGCCATGATAAACTGCTCAAGGACCTATGGACATGATAAGGTACTTTTCTGGTTTGCTAGTCCCAGCCCAGCTCTCCCCTTTCCCTAAAGAAATGTCCAAATATTGACTAGTAACATCTGGTTCTTCAGCTACAGAGGTCTCCATGTGGCTTTTTATAGCCCTCCTCCTTGTGACATGATGAATTAAGCTGTCTCAGTGCTAAAGATGGGCAAATCCCATTAAGATTTAGAACAATCAGTAGCCAGCTAGGATTAGCGCTTCTTGACAAGACCCTAATTCGTGTGCTGTAGAGGTCATGGCAGGCAGCTGCAGAAGATGCTGTAGTTTGGAGGATTGTACAGACACAGAATCCAAACAAGAGCCCTGCTCACTCAGTAATACAAATCATCACAAGATTGATTAATAGTGAGGGTCTGCGGCCAGCTGGGAGGTATAAGGCCAGGTTGACTGGAATATACAGCATCTGAGAGTTATCACAAAGGGAAATGTTTGTCTTCCCATATGAGATTTCCAAGCACAGCTCATGTTTGATCAGTCCAAAAGTAACAAGCAGTGGGTTTAAAAGATGTCTCTTATTTTTTTCTTTCTTTTTTCTTTTTTTTTCTTTTTTTTTCCTTTTTTTTTCTTTTTTTCCTTTTTTTTCCTTTTTTTTTTTTTTTTTGTTTCTTTAATTGAAGCTCCTCCTCCTGAGCTTCCTTCACACCTCATCTGGATATATCCTGGGTGCTGTATTCACCACGATACCATCAATATGGCATCCAATGGCAAGTACACCAAGTAACCACATGTGAAATAACTTCTTCAGGAGTATAGCTTGATGCAAGAGCCCCTGTGACAGGGGAAAGTTAGCTAAGACTCTGCCATATATAGCAACTTGTTCTTCACAAAGTGCTTCTCTTAGACGTGATAATTATGCAGAAATACAGACTCAGGCTGTGAACTTGTCAGCTTACAGGGACTGTCTCATACCAAACCTGGGGAAGAGTCCCAGCTTGTGCTGAAAATGGATCTGTATAAGCAGCATTTACTGAAGGTGGTAGCTGTGCCATGGTTGCCAAGTCAAATAATGAGGGGTGATGTACTACTCCACCTAGGGAGAGATGTTAATGGTCTAATCATGGTTAGATATGATTAGACTGGAAAAAAAAAAAAAACTCAAAACTTTTAATCTATTTTTTTTTAATTATTTAAAATATAGTTATTCCTAAGTGGCCTGTTCCGTATTCTCTGCGTGGTTTGTATCAGCCTTCTAGGCAGACAATCATGCTACCTAGTCACCGGCAAGGTTTTGGGGGCTTTCTGCAGAAAGTGAATTTTATATTCACAATTCCAAATAAATGTGTTAAAACCTGTTTCGAAGATTTTTATATTGCCAGGTCATGTGTTCATCATGTCCCACTAGAAAATGCTGTTTTCTAATAACTACCAAGAGCTGTAACTGCTACAAGCAACTGAAGACCCACTCAGAGTCTGAGCTACGGCAGCTTTAAAAATAAATATTAAAAGTATTTGTGGAAGCTATGACATGGTCGTAAAAAGACTAACAAAATTGTTTCTTCTTTACTGGGGTTAAATATGATGACTGAATTGTTTCTAGGGAAGAGTTTGTCTGTTGTAAATAATAATAAAATTTCTAACTGCTAAAAACTCTTTTCTGGAAAGGCAAAGTTGCATACCAAAGAGGAGAACAAAACAAACAAACAAAAAAAACCAAAAAACAAAAACAGTGAATAAACTTCACTGCTGGTGAAAACCCCTGTAGCTTCAATGAGCTACAGCTGACAGCAGCTGAGAACTTGGCAAAGATGTCTAGAACAAGGGCTTAGAGAAATGCTAATAACCAAAGGGGGAAAAGGGAGAGAATCAGCCCATGAAAAAGTGAATTGTGCTAATGATTTCAGATTATGCTCTTTAAGACATATTTTCGGCCTCTTTCCTCTTAGAAGTGCCATTAGTCCTAGCTCTACAGCTGAAATCTAGCAGGATGCTAAATATCAGAAATTCCTTTGCCGCCTTAATAGGCGAGAGTGTTCTTCACTTCTTGTCCTAACTTATCCCAAATGGTTATTTTGCATCACTTACCAACAACTGCATCCTAGCTCAGAGGTGACTACATTTTACTATCAGTGCAAATTATGCTTCTACACATGTAGGGTTGGTTTTCTGGGGGTTTTTGTTTGTTTGTTTTAATCTGTCCAGAGTACAAATGCGAAAGTCGCTCATCCACGATTCCCTTGGCTAATATGCCCATCTGTCCCAGCTTTTGCAAACCAGAAAAAATCCCTTTTTGTTACCTAGAAAAGCTATTAGTCTGTTGCATTTGATATACCTGATGTTCCTTGAGTTGCAGAGTGTATAAACATACGCATGAACGCACACACGTGCATGCAGCCTGTGCTTTCCACGTACGTGGCTATGCTCCTGCTACACACAAACACTACATTTTAATACCAAAATTTACTTTCCTTCGTAAGCGAAAGCTAGGAGTAAAAACTTAAAGGGATGCAGGTGCTGGAATGAGGACAGCTCTTGATGTGCCAGAATAAATCACATCAGGGCTCTTCATAAGCATCAGGAATATCTTGCCTGGGGTGAAATGCTCGACTTCAGTAGTGAAACGAGACACTAATACAGCTCAGAAGCACAATGCTTTCTCTCTCCCTTTCTCCTTTTTTTTCCTGCTCGCTTTTTGAGCAACTTTTTGTTTGGTTGCTCCTTTCAAACGCACCCTTGTGATTGCTTTGAAAGCCCAGGTTATGGGTTTGTGTTTGTTTTCTATTACAGAATACATCGTTTAAGGCTGATAAATTAAACATACGGAAGAGGCAGAAGGAGAAAAAATAGCTACAAGCATCTGCACCAGTCTCATAGTTTATTTGTCTACGAAAGGCCCTGCTGTCATGGAGACAGGTCTTCAGAGCTTGCTTCACTCCGGGTTGCACATGGAAGGACACAGCGAGAGAGAAAAAAGAAGAAAGCAAGAGAAAGCCCCAAACCCAGGAGTAACCACCCCCAGCACACCCTTTGGAAACTCAACTTCTCCCAGCTCATCTGTTTTGTATGCACTGGGCAGGAGGCAAGACTTACGGCCCTTGTTCACACTGTTTTTAACCATCTCATCCCTTCTTGAAACACCCAAAAACTTTGCAAACACCCTCTGTCAGGCCTTCTGCAGAGCATCAGTCCTTCTTGTAGCCTGGACCCCTCTCTGCTCCCCATCCCGGGAGGGACAATGCTTCTCCTCCACCCCAGGAGAGCTTCTCCACAGACCCAGGTTCCTCACCCCATCCGAGACACAAGAAGCGCTTGCGGATGATGCGGTTCCGTAACCGGCCCGTCACGGCCATGTAGGATTGCCAAGCCTCGGTCAACACCCAGCAGAAAGAGGAGAGGAAGAAGAAGTGCAAGAAGGCTGCCACCAGTGTGCATATCACCTGGAGAAAAGAAGAAAGGAGGACACGTAAGAGGAGAAGCAGGTGGAGAGAGGAGCGTGTAAGAGAGCAGAAGGCACAGAGAGATGCTTCAAAACCAGGCTCTGGAAAGCAAGATGCCGAGGATCAGGACAAAAAAGGACATTTAGACTAGATATTAGGAAGAAATTGTTTATTGTGAGGGTGGTGAGACACTAGAACAGGTTGTCCAGGGAAGTTGTGGCTGCCCCATCCCTGGAGGTGTTCAAGGCCAGGCTGGATGAGGCTTTGAGCAACCTGGGCTAGTGGAGGGTGTCCCTGCCCATGGCCGGGGGGTTGGAACTCGATGATCTTTAAGGTCCCTTCCAACCCAAACCATTCTGTGATTCTATGATTTATGATATGACATTTTAGGAGGAGGCAGTCTCCCCAACAAGCTTCAACCAAGCCAAGAACCAAAGCATTTGCTTCAAATTTAAGCACTGCATGGAAATCACGAGCTCTAAGATAAACCCATGGTTAACACTTTTGCTGAAGTCTGACCCCACATCCCATTCTGGTGCTTTCTTGGTTTCAGCAATATATATTTATTTTCCAAATTATCAATAACATTTCCATGATACTTTCGAGGAGGATGAAGCAGTTAGTAAGCTGTGCACTAATCTCAGCTCAAAAGGTTTGCAAAGCACCATGTTGCTGGCAGCCGAGCCACAGCAATGAAATCAGAGGAAGGTAATTTAGACAGTGTCCCTGTCAAGGAAGGATTGTTGAGTGAAAGAGTTAAGTCGTGAGAGCTGGGTAAAACCACGGCTGCCAGGGGCTGGTATAGACTGTAAACATGAGAGGTGTGGAGTTGTCCAAGAGCATATAACTACTATCAGACAGGAGAAAAGGAGGGGAAAAAAAAAAAAAAGGAAAAAAAAAACCTACATTAGAAGGAATTTCATAATGGTGAGCTCTACTACTCGGTGGGGAAATCTCTCAAGGGAAATGCAGGGAGCTTAAGCCATTTAAAATTAAACTGGGGAAAGTACTAGCAAATGCATTATGAAGAACAACCCTGTAGTGCCAGGGAGATGGACTGGAAAGCTGACAAGCTCGTCTTTGTGTTTAACTCAGCAAGGCCAAATCTTTCACTGGGGCAAATTGGTGCCGCTCTGTTTAACTCTGCCAGAGCTGTGCTTAATTTCCACTGTATGCGAGTTGGAAGCTGTGAATCAATGTACTCGAGAAGAAAATGATGGAAAGAAACTCCAGTGGCTACCAAGGAGAAGGGAGAGGAAATAGACATTAAAAGTGACTCCGGATGAAAAAAAAAAAAAAAGGCTTAAGGCATTCAGGGCAGGGGAAAAGGGAGGATTATGATGAAGAATTTCTCTCCTTTGAGTTATATCAGGAAACACGGATTTTGGATTTATAGTCAATGAACCTTCCTCTTTTTGCATCCACCAGCATCTTTTAAAACAGAGCTCTCATGCACGGAGTGTCTTTTATCATGTTATAATTAAAATGCTCTTTATTCTTACACTGGCACAAACCGACATTATCAGGGGTTGTGGAAAAAAAATAAGACTGTGTGTTCTTTTAGACAGGGACTGTTTTTTTCTGTTCCGTATTTGTATTTGACACCAAAACTCTTGGTATTCTGCCTGTAAATGGATTCTGGATGACAGTTCAGTACAAATAACTCAATATGGTAATTTCAAGTAATTTGCAAACTTTAAAATAATCCTGAAAAGGTGGTTGCTATTCATCAGCTTACAGACGTGCATAAAACAGTTACAAACACAAGATGCTTTCAAGAATGTGTTTTAAGACACCATTATTTTAGGATTTGTTTTTTTTTGTTTTGGTTTGTTTTTTGTTTTTTTGTTTTTTCCTAACATGAGATGCAAAATTGTTCATTTTACCATTTTGATTTTGTTCTGCCCAGTTTGCTAGCAGTTTGTAAAGGGGAGAGAAAAACTTTGCTTTCCAATTTTACACCAGAGAGATAAATTTTATGGGTACTTTTTCTCAATCAGGTAGTTTTGCTAGAAAAGGAAGGAGAAGACAGGAGGGGAGCACAACAGAAATATACCCATCTCAGCTGGGCCAGTATAAACCCATTGCCTTAACTGGAAACAGGCTGTGAACTCAGCCAGCTGAAGGGCAAGCACATATTTGCTTCTTCTACCTCTGCTGCAGGTTTTTCCTTTCTTGTAAGGAAAAAAAAACCAAACAAAACTCCATGAAGGCCTAAGCACAGGGATATGATGTCCCAAGCTGCTGCAGAAAGATCTAGCAAAGCTTGTCAGTCTGTCAAGACCATTAGCCCTTGTTTTCCTTTAAGAGGAGAAATCTGTTTCCTTGCAGCACGTAGCCATGCCTTTGAGATACGGCCAGTTCATGCAGCATTCATTTCTTTTGTGTCATGCTACTGCTGACTGTAATTTTTTAGCCTTTTCACAGGTCTTTCATCTTCAAAAAAGCTTAGCAAACCCAGGCATGAAGTCCTGCCTTTGAGGTTACACAGACGGAAATCAAGGGAGAATTTGGCATTTCCAAGGAAACTAATACCATAGAAATTCTCCCAGAGTAAACTGCAATTATAAATCAATCACCAACATTTTAAGATGCTCCATTATCAATAACTGAATGTGAATAAAATCTTAATTTACACTCCTTCGTCTCTTCTCTCTATAGTTTTCTTTCTGTGTTCCCTGCCAGAGACTGTTTACTAGACGGCTGAGCGGAAATCCAAGAATAACCTTCTATTTATGGTGTTTCATGCATATGTATGTGCAAAGAGCTCATCTGCCTCGTGCAGTTGCAGCCGGGAGCTTTGAATCCTCACTAACAGCTCTGACAGTGAACACCCAGAGTGATAAAAAGCACGAGGGAGAACCTGAGCTCCCAACTGTGCTCTGAAGGGGGTAGGAGAGGGTGAAGACATCCACCTCCTGTGCTGGAGTGAAGAATACAGGAGGGGGGTGGGGAAATGCTCTTTATCAGGGAGTACAGTAACAGGACAAGGGGTTAATGGTTATAAGCTGAAAGAGAGTAGATTTAGATTAGATATTAGAAATAATTTTTTTTTCTCTTAGCATGGTGAGGCACTGGAACAGGTTGCCCAGGGAAGCTGTGGATGCCCCATCCGTGGAGGCGTTCAAGGCCAGGCTGGATGAGGCTTTGAGCAACCTGGGCTAGTGGGAGGTGACCCTGCCCATGGCAGGGGGGTGGAACTTGATAATCTTTAAGGTCCCTTCCAACCCAAATCATTCTGTGATTCTATGATTCTATGATTCTATGAATAACAATCAAAGAGGAGGTCCAGCCATGTTTTGCCACATTGAGCATCCCTCAGTATTTTTTTTCCCTATGGAAAGGAGCTCCTAGCACACACTCGGCATTGCAGACAATGCGCTTAGGGAAAGTAAGGGCTTTGCTCACCCTTTCTACACCTCTTGCCCTGAGAAAACTCTGTTGGCCATGAAAGCAAGCTCTGCTTTGTGAATTTAATTTCTGAAGGGCGCTTGTTTAATAGGAGCAGGGCTGGCTGGCTGTGTCTCTCCACACTTCACTACACATATACGACTCAAGCAGCTGTAAAGTTTTCCTTAAAACATAACCTAACCCTAACCCAAAGGGCCCTCAGTTGAAATAAGTCTTTGTGATTCATTAAACCCTGGGGACTTCTCTGTGGTAATGCTTCCAAAAGTGACAGCATGCTCTGGCTGCCAAAGTAGATGCTCAACAAAACTGGCTGGTTACTGTTAATTAAAAATTAAATTTTGACTTCTGATTGAGACTTTGGCAGCAGGAGCAGTGGAGGACACTTCTTGCCTCACTTTTCTGATTAGAGGAGTTAGGATGCTTGGAGCACTTGGGGAGATGGGGAAAAGTACAACAGGAAAATACTAATGATGAGAAGTGATTTGTGATGCCAGAAACCAACGGAGAAAGTACTTTAGCTGGAAAAAAGACACATAGGCAACATGCACCTCTCCAGATGGGTTTGTAGCATGGGAAGGCACGTACGTGCAACCAGTGCACGCAGCTTGAAATTCCACATTTCGTCTTGCATTTACTGCTGGAGTCGCACCGTGATGTGCAGCGAGTCCCTCACACCCCCTGTCTCTGCAGCATGCACAGTGTGTCTGGAAACACTTCCTACCCCAAAAAAAGATGGTTTTTTGTGGCTGTGTTTGTTAACATCTGCCAAGTGCCTTAAGCTCAGAGTGTAAAAGTTGCTGGAGAAATAAATATAAAGCTGAGATTTATTTTTTTTTAAAGACTTTTCTCAATCTGTATTTCTTTGTAATTTTTGGAAAATAAAATGGTTAAAGCCTTGCAAATAACCGTGTTTCTTCGCTGTGCCATGTGCCAGCTACTCTAGGCAGATATTCAAAAATATCACATTGGTTTTAATCAAAGCCCTGAGGATGCTGACAAATTATCAAAGAGAGAGTGAGAGAGAAAATTGAAATCTGCCATTTAGTCGTGTCTTTGACATGTCGCTAATTAACAGATGGAGGAAAAATGAAGAAGCGCTTGCCTGAATGGATCATTTCAGTGCTAAATCACGGGAAAAGCAAACAAACAAACAAAGCCCAACTGATCTCCTACCTTATTTCGGGTCTGGGTCTGTCCAATCAGGATGAGAGCATTGGAGGAGATGATGGAGAGGCAGAAGTTGATAAGAATGACCGAACGCTCTGAGCGAATATACCTGGAGCAAGAAAAGAGGGGAAGGGAGATCCACTCTGTCACAACTTGGATTAAGTTACCTCTGAAAAGCATCAACCAGATACAGGTTGCACTGGCCCAGGCTCTACAGAAGGCTACGGTAAACGATTGCCCATTTCCTGCAGATCTTGTGCATTAAACAGACAAGAACAAGGGGAAGAGTCTGGGGGAGAGCTTGGGTGTAGTGCTCAGCCCAGGGATCTCACCATCCTCCCCATCAATGCTCAAGTTAAGAGCACGAGCCAACAAACCAGGGGCAAGCCTGGTTCCTAGTCTGAGCCGCTCCTAAAACAGTAGAGTGCTGCACGTCTTCTCCAGCTCTGCTTGCTTGACAGGAGACTTGAAAAGGAAGTTTGAAAGAAAACATACAGGCAACACATGGAAAGATTCCCAAAGAAGAGCCACAGGCATGCTGGCAATGAAAGCAGATTACGTATGCATGCACCTTCACAACAAAGTGTTTGTGATTCAGCATTCCCCTTTGTTTAACCTAACAACCCCTCCTGAAATGAGAAATATTTGTGGCTTTTTCTTTTTTTTCTCCCAGAGGTAGAGGTTTAACATTTCTCAAAACTAGGCCAAATGTAACTGCAGCTGTGGGTATGGGACATTAGGGATCTAAGTTAGGAAGCTGTTGCCTTCAGCACCTTGCAGGAGCAAGCTATTTGTCATTTCTGATTTGCGAAGTGCAGCACAGTACCAACTTGCTGCTGAGGTATGTGCATGACAATTAATTCAAACCACTGGCTATGGAGGAAAATTTATTTGAAGGCACTTTTTATGTAACAAACAAAATGAAAAGGGAATTGCGAAAGTGCAGGTCTTCAGGGATTGACTCAGGACCTGACCATACCAACACTCTTCCACGTGAATAATCTCAGTGGGTTGGCAAGTGCCCTGCCTGAATACCAGATGAATACAGAGTAGACGCTGCTGCTTACAGAAATTAGAGACAGATCTATTAATAAACCACCTCATCCCTGGAGGCTAATGCAGGATTATTTCCTATTCCTACATTTCAGTACATCAACTATTTATATTGGGAATTTTAATTTCATTAACTAATTTTAGCAAAAGTGAGTTGGTCACGCTTTGGCTGTGGAGTTTTGAGTTTCTTACTAGATGGGCAGGATGAGTTCACTGCACGTTTGTATTGTGCCAAGGGTAAATTTGTGCTTTGGACCTACTGAAGGCTGAAAAACTTAGGTTTTAACTTCCCTCTGAGTTTTACCTTCCAATAAACATGAATGTTGAGGATATGCTTTCCTGGATACAAAAAAATCACTGAACTTCTACAGAGTCTTTTGGAAACCTGGTTCATAGGTAGTTATCCCTGAAACTCACCCAACCTCATAACAAACTACAAGATTCAGACTTCCAGCCTGAACCCAGGTAAAAACTGGGTTGACTGCCTGAAAAAATGAGTCTTTGGTTGTCTTTATGGCAAATCTCATCCCAAATTTCCCCATTTCATTGGGATCAATACAATGCTGTGGATCACCTGGATCACATTCCATTTGTGGCTGGAGGGTACCAAGCCATCAATCTAAGATTGTGTGAAGCAAAACATCAAGTCTCTAGTCAGCAACTTCCAGGGGACAGCAAGGGAGATTTGGACTCTGTTCTGGTTGGAATGGGATGTGATAATTCAGTGTTGCAACACTGTGATCCAACTGGCACTAACGTGCACTTTTAAAGTCTCCTCTGGTCAAAAAAGGTAAGAAATGAGTTGACCGTAAGTGTAGTCTGTATGTGAATGTAAGGGAAGATAATCCAGTTGTCTTCAGACTTTTTCCCCCCTTACACAAGCCTCTCCTTTCTCCACACCTCCCTTCATGAACTGAGAGTCCATCCTGTTCCCCAGATTCCTGAACCTCCAAAGAACAAGATGTGTGTTGGCAACATGTAGAATCACAGAAGCAGAATAATTTATGTTGGGGAAAACCTCTTGAGTTCCCAGTCCAATCATCTGCCCAAAACCAGGTAATTTCAAAGTCAGGTCAGGTTTCTTAAGGTCTTGGCCAATCAAGTTTTGAAAGTCACCAGGAACTGAAATGCCACCATATCTCTTGGATAACTTGTCACAGTGCATAACTACACTCACGGTGAAGGATTATTTTTCTCTATATCCAGATGAATTTTCTCCTGCTGCAGCTGGTGCCTCGAGACCTTTCTGTGTATACATCTGCAAGCTGACTTCTCCCTTACTTCTCCTTAATAGCCTCCTCTTCTCCAAGCTAACCAAGCCTTGTTCCCTTTGCCTCATTTTCTAACACGTTCTCCAGCTTCCTAAGCATCCTCTGGACTTGCTCCAATGTGCTGACATCTCTTGTATTGCAGGAGTCCAATATTGGGCATGCTTTTCTAGATGTGGCCTCAAGAGTGTCAAGCAGATAATCAATTCCCTTGACCTCTTGGCTATAAATGATGTCAGCCTTCACTGCTGCAAGGGTGCACTGCTGATTCATTTTCAAATCGTTGCCCACTAGGACCCACAGGCTTTCCCCTGTGGAGACATTACCAAGCCAGTCAGTCTCCAGCCCATCCTGCTCTACGTGGTTATTGTGTCCCAGGTGCAGGACTGTGCATTTGTCTTTTTATATCACTTCTCCAGCCTGTAACTCCAGTTTGCTGAGGTCCTCCCAAATGGCAGTGCTGCTATCCAGTGTATCAGTCACTTCTCACAACTTGGTGTTATCCAAAAACATGCTGAAGGTGTATTTTGCCTCATTGGTCTGGTCATTAAAGAAGATGTTAAACAATATTGGCCCTAGTATGAACCTCTGCCAGATGCAACTAGTAATCACCTCCTGATTAAGGTTCAAATCTTTGACCATTACCCTTTAAGCCTACAAGAACTCGACCCAGCTATTAATCCACATTAGAAGCCACCAATCCAGTGCACAGTTCCCTGGTCTGGATGCAAAGATACTATGGGAGACTGTGTTAAAGGTCTTGGTAATGTCAAAATACGCAACACCTACTTCGCTGTCCATGCAATCAGCCATCCCATCACAAAAGGGAAACAGGTCAGTCAGGTACAATCTGCCCTCAGTAAATCTGTCTGCCTATTCCTAATCGCTTTCTTGTCCATCATTTTGCCTGGAAATAACCTTTATAACTACTTGCTCCTTAATCTTCCCAGAGGCTGTGGGTACGTTGACCAGCTAGTTGTTCTCTGGATCCTCCTCCTTGCCCTTTTTAAAGATGGGTGTAACATTTGCCTTCTTCCAGCCATTAGGAACCTCCCCAGATGACAGTGGCTCCACGGTAACACCATAACATCCTCGATGCAGTCCCTTCAGTCCCATGGACTTGCACATGTCCGGCTTACTTAAATGGTCCTCAGCTCTCTCCTCCTTGGCAGTGAGTAGCATTTTCTTCCCCAGACTCTGCCAGTAGGTACAGGAACTTGGGTACCTGGAAGCAAACCTTGCCAGTAGAACAAGGCAATGAAGGCACTGAGTACCTTCACCTCTTCTATTTCCTTATCCATTAGGCTACTTGACCCATTCAACACTTAGTCAACATTTTCCTGGGTAATCCTTCGGTGCAGATGTACCCACAGAAACCCTTCTTGCCACCTTTCACATCCATTACCAGTTTCAAATCCATCTGAATTCTGGCCTTCCTAATTTAATCCTTCATTCCTGGGCAATGTTTCTATAGTCCTCCCTGGTAGCCTGACCTGGCTACCAAACATTTCCTTATTATGTTTCAGCTCAATCAGAAGTTCCTCGTTATGCTAAAATGGCCTCCTGCCATGTTTGCTTTTTCATTCCATTTCTTCTTCTCCAGCACAGGATGCTCCATAGAAATAAATCACCATTGATATCCAGACCTTCTGGCCAAACAAGTCAAGAATTCATAAGAGAGGGAAAAAAACCACAGAACTTGATAGGTTTTGCCAGAGGAGAAATCTCCAGCAAAGGCAGAGTTACTCCAGGGTGCTGTCTTGCTACCACTAAATCAATCCAGAATGTCTCATAACAGGGGTCTACTGTTTGCTTATCAAAATATACTGTACTTAGACACCAAAGCACAGGGAAAGCCTCACTGCAAACTTCTGCTCTGGCCTGGGTCCTGCAAGATGTGGGGAAGCCCTGTGCAAACCGAGACAGACAGAGAAGGTGGGAAAACTCTGCACTAAATCAATCCTCGGGCTTTGGTGGGCAGGGAGTGAGCAAAGCTGGTGCTGATATCTTGCAGCAATTCAGCATTCACCCAGCTGCCGCCAGTGGATAAGGTCTGCTGTGCCCCACATGCTGATGATGGGCTGGTGGAAGAGCTGTTCGATAGTGAACATTGATCCCATGCTATGGAAAGGTCACTGAGTCCAGAGGCTGTTGAACCACAATGAGTTCAGGGATGGAAAACACACCGGGGCACTCCTGAAACACCATCACGTCAAGGAGCTGCTTGAAAGGAGTGGTACAAACCAAGGCTTAGAGAAACACAGTACTGAGTCATTTCACCTGTTCAGACCCTGAGTACTTCTTTTTTGCCCCAGTTTTTCATTTTCATGTCAGTTTTCAGGAGAGAAGGTATTTTTCTTTCAGTTTCCTCTCTTTTTCCACATGGGTGGTGGAGCACATGGCCCACACACAGATCGTGTCTCCAGTTGTGACCCAGGACAGAAACTGCTGAGATGTAACGAGGTCATCCCACTGCTATGGCCCCCCCACTGTGTCACTGACCTCTGTCGAGACTGCTAATAAGACCAGGAATGCACCAGCTGCAGCAGAGTTTTTGCAGCCATCTGTCTACTAGGAACTGGAGTGAGTCCACCAACAGGCCACCAACAGCCGTCAAACAGAAAAAACCTACAGTTTTCAATGAGACTCTGCCAAATTGGCTGTGTCTGAAGCAATCACTCGCATCAAAAATCTCATGCCGTTCACGCCGTTGGCTGAGTAGGTGTCACTGAGAAGCAACCATTATTTGGGGGTTTTGAACGGGAAGTGGAGGGTAAATTTATTTCCTCTTTGATAATGCAGCCCAAAGCTGGGATCACCTCCCTTTTTTACTCTGCCCCCTTTTCTTTACCATGTTCCTTTCCTTCTTTCTCCCTTGCCCTTTCTTTCTGCTTCCAATATATAAACAAACCCTAGCTGGGCAAAATTCTGGGAAAGTTTCCAGATTGTCAGCCTCAGTGAGCTTATTCATCAGAAGTGCTTCATACTCAAGCTGAGCCTATGTATGGATGCTCCAGATGCCTTTGTCCAGAGATCTAAATGGGAAATTTCCTGGCCAAAGCTCCCAAAACAGCTGAGCTCTGGTGAGTGCCCTCCACAGAAGACCAGGCAGCTAAGGCACAATGATTTTCTCCCTCTGCATGGTGAGAAAGAACCACTTTGATATGGTTCCTGTATTTTAGCAACAACAGCTGGAATAATACTGCTGATCCCACTTCTGAGCGTTCCTCCAGCTGTTATCAGACTAGATAACATCTAAGGCACAACAAAGTGGGAGCCAGGAGATAATGTTGACTTGTCTATGATGTTCCTGAGACCATTAATAGGACAGCACATTCATGTCCAGCAGCTATGCCTAAAATAAAAAGGACACACAGAGTGTTCAGGGCTCAGCTACGGGGATGCTGTGAAGTTTAGAAAAACATGAAAACATGATCTACAGAGAAGAAATGAAACAAACTCAGCGCACCAAAGAGAAATTCTCAAGATCACTTGATCATGCTTTACAAATATTTACACAAAGAGACTTAGGATAGAGAGCCCTTCAATCAAGATATAGCTGGTCTCAGGATCACTTGGAAATGCATGTCCATCTTTGGCTAGCTCAGAAACGCCCATTCAAGCCTCCCATAAACATGTCTCCCCACTCATGCTAATCATTTTGGGCACAGGGATAATGCAAAGGCTGGAATGAGAAATTTAAAAAAGTGTATTTTAAACAGGGCAGGCAATTAACTTTACTGTCCTCAATAACAGTGAATATTGAGGGGCACACTCCTGGAAGAAAATACATTATGTTATTCCAAATGACTCTGGCATGCTCCAAACTGATTCAACCTCATGTCTGAACTTGGGTTTCAGATCCTGAGCTCGTTTCTGACAGGAAAGAGAGGGTGAGGCTCAAACGCTTGCTCTTTACTCCTCTATCCTAACTTTCCACTTGATCCTGACACCAGTGACACCAGTAAGTCACCTACCAGCGCTGCCCAGTGCTGCCCAGCCTGAGGAAAAGCAGGAGAGGACAAGGACTTGAGCACATCCAATGATACCCCAGGCACGGAAAAACCTGAGTTCTAGATAAATGTTATTATGATCAGTCTTCAGCTCAGAGCACTTGCCATCATTAACTAGCCACTATGCACTGTCACAGTATCAATGAAAAAAGATGCATTTTTGCTCATTTTTTACTCTATTTCCTCTATCAAAGGGTGGAAAAAGTTATCTCAATTCACAATTCTGAACTGAATTTACCTTTTCCTCCTTACTAAGAAGAATAACTTTGCAAAATAAGAGTCTCAGATGGATTCCTTCTCCCAAAAGGGTCGCCAATAATTTCCAGGCAGTATATTCTCTGTAGCTACTCCATTTCAATTTCACAGTCACTTACTTTGTTCTGATTTTGTTTGTTTTATTTAGCTTAGAGTCGTGAAGCTCTCAGCATGTTTGCCACAGGTTTAGAAAGGGCATGGGTCTCGTAGTATAAACTCAGATCTTGATCAATGCAGTATAGAGGGAGAATCACTTGAATACCTCAGGTCCTCCAGCGTATAGAGTCCAACAAAATGTATCTAACAGGGACATGGGCCAATGTGGGTCTTTGTTCAATAAAACTTTGCAGAAAAACCACTTCAGCTTCTATGAAGGATAAAATTTAAGGGTGCACCTGACCTGCTTACAGGTTTACAGGAGCTCTTGGCAATGGGATGTACTGAGGAATCCCATTTGCATCCAAAGCTAATGAAAAAACATAGCTAAGAGGTTGGAGAGTTATTTAGACCATGGGGTTTGTAATCCATAAAATCCTGAAAAGTACTATCAGTTCTTCAGACCAGATGTTTTCATAATGGGTTGTGGACGTTTTGATGTTATCAAAGACCCAACTAGAAATACTTTGAAGTAGTCTACCTGCCAGGAGGCAGTGTGTGTCCACTTCTCCACAAACAAGGTTTTCCTGGGGTATACAGAGGCATCTAAACTAGCACACAGCTTTTGAAAATGGAACAATGCAACTACATGGGGTCATGGCACTAATTGCACTCTACTAATTCCTCTGGTACTAAAAGGAAAGAATAATGCCAACTAAGCCACTGTGATGACTTTTTGCAGGACCCACTCATTATAAAATGGTTCTTCCTCAGACACCAGACACCCAAAGCAGGAAAGCAAAACCTCCAGGATCCATGTAGATCAAGAGACAGCTACCTTCCCCAACAAGAAGAGAAGAGAATGAAAGTCATACCTCCAAACAGAGACATAAATGATAATCAACAGCAAAAGTGTCAGCGAAGATACTCCACAGCCTACAATTAATGTGACAGAAGGGACCAGCACCTTTTCCATGTTCTGAAAGAGAGAAAGCAAGACATTAAAAAAAAAAAAAAGGTAAAAAAAAAATAGTAAAAAAAAAAAGATGCTCAGCAAACGCTACCATCTCAATTTCATGGCAAGAACTTTCCTCCTAATTGTCTTTGTGTCAACTCACCCAATCTTCACATCGCACTGCACATACAAATATAGAGGAAAGAAGGTTCTGGTTGACCCAGCCTTTTTTGGACCTGATTCTTGCTTCTACACACACCAGTGTTAAGTCTGGGTAACAACTCTGATATCCATGGCAAGACAGGGGTGTAAAAGGCATGGGTTGCAAGAGGAGGATCAGGCCCTTCATATCCAGTGTGAAACTTTGAAGATAGTTAATGAGGCAATAGCAGAAAGCAGTGCCTACAGTTGAACAATTACAAATGAGCTCTTCTGGAAACGGCGGTGATGAAAGTTGGAGGATGAAAAGAAAGCGAAAATCTTTGACCAACTACAAACATCCATCTGGAAAAAGAGGCAATGAAGCAAGCAAAAAAAAACCAAGGTACATGTACTCCCCAGGGACCCAGCATCTTCTCATACTTCACTACTCTTGCAGTGCTACACAAGGTATTTCTTCATATGCAGGGGTCCTTACTGGAAAATCCGGTGTGAAATGGTTCTCCTTCAGTGTCTGAACACAAAATATCTGCCAGTCATCAGCTCTTGTAACATCAAAACCAAACACACATGCTATAACCTCTCCTAATCTAGTTCTCTGCATCACTGGGACTAACTGTGTAACTAGCCAGCATCTGCTGGACTAATATCATTAAAATCTTCCTGTTCTCAGCTTAGATACAGGATCTGGATCCCACTTTGTTTTCTCTGCTGCAGTCCTTTTTTCCAGCATGTTTCTCATTTCCACATGAATGATCTCTGCTGGCGTGAAGGCAGAGAAGCAGAGACCCACCACGCAGCAGACACATACGAACCCTCTAGTTAGAGTGATTAGATAATATGCAGAGGTATGGGAGCACAGTCAAGGTTGTTATTAGCTTGGCGCCCTACCAACACCTATCACTACAGCCATGGAGATGAGATGGTTTCTGACATACCCAGAGCTTAGCATGGCGGGGGGGGGGAAGCAATTACACATGAATTTGGGAATGGAACAAGCAATTCTCTAAGGACCTGTCTACACTATTTTGTTGGCAGGCATGAGGCTGCTCAACCTGAACGTCCAATCAGCAGTATACCGTGGAGTTGAGGCTACTGCAGCTCCGTTCCAGGCTATTGAGCCTGCTGCAAAGCAAAATATATTAGGCAAGACTCAGTGCTATGCTTATATGGAGTCTGGCCAGCTCAACACATTGGAAAAGCAAGCATATGTCCATTGACTCGAGGACCATGGTCAGTACCGATTTACTCCACGGAGCTCACTATGAAGAAGAGACAACCAACCTTGATATACTGGGATCTGAGCTGAATTGTCCCTGTAGTCTGCAGGGCTTGGGAAGATCCTCCTTACTGGCATATTTTGACTAAAGACACCTCTCACATTTTGAATCTCATTGCGGGGAAATAATGAGGAACAAAACTTTCACCATACCACTGCAGTGAACCCCACAGGAGCTATTGGGAAGGCTGGCACAAGAGCTTAAGGGATCTGAGAAAAAAATTGAGTGGCGTATTCAATGGTTTGAATATCCAACTGGCATATATACCCAAACGAGTACAGGTTGATTGAGGGATCCTTACTGGATGCAGACCAGGTGCATCCTGGAAGCCAACCAGCACTGCAGTGTGATGCTACCTCTCTGTAATGTCCCCTCCCTACAGACCATATTAACTCTGACATGTCACTACCCCAGCATGCCTGTACAGCTTCCTTGAGTTCGCTCTGTGAAAGAAAGGGCTGGGGACTCTCCAAAACCACCACCACACACATATATATACAAAGGATTTGGATGTTGAACCTAATTCAACTTGCTGAAATTATGGAACTGTTCTTCAGGCGATGCCTTAGTCCTTCTAACTACCAGCAATTGTGCAATAATGGCAAGAATAGCGCAGCCCTGAGCCTCAACAATCTATCCAGCAAGATCCTGCATCTCCCCCATCTAGAGCTTCCCAGAATGCTCACGGAAAATGCTACAACTCACACGTGGGTTCTTCCTCTAAACTTCTACGGAGACTTGGATGACTGCAATTTTTAAAATCAACTCATGTGACTATTCCCACCCTGAGAATTTACTCCTGCCAAATATTAGTGGAAGGTTAGAAGCAGCTTTTTTTTGGGAACTAGGTAAACAGAATAAATTTCAATGAAAATAACAACATTTGATTCATCTTCCATCAAACAAAATGGAAATTGGACATATTCCAGGCACTGTGAGTGCTGAAACATCATATCCTGCTCCTTACAAACTGAAACGTGGAAGGGACTTTCTTCTGCGAATAGAAGCCTCTGATTTAATCAGGCACTGGGGTAGGATATTGGAGAGAGAGAGATGCAATCTCCACTATGAAGCCACAGCTTCTCCCTTTGCCACCTGTGCTTTGTTTCTTCCTTTGCAGAACCCAGATAGGCAACAGTCCTGTCCTACCTCAGAGATGTATGGTCATGATAAACGCGCTGGGAAGCACAAGCTCCTCAGACACAAATTGTTCCTTACTCTCTCGCTCCAAGCTCACTCCCAACCCTTTTTCTCTCCCTGCTCCCCTCTTCCGGCAATATGAGTTCACATCGCACGAATGGTGGCCTGGGATGAGCATTGATTGTGACATTTGATTTAAGTAGGTCTCATTTCACTGACTTTTCATGGGTAACTGGATAAAAGTAGGGGAGGAGCTCCATTAAAGAAAAAAAAAATTAAAAAAAGCCTGATATATAACTCAATCCTAGATCATCCAAGAGAAACTGAAAAATTTTAAGACTTTAAGAGATGAGTAGTCCCTATATCTCCAACACAGTAACCCTAACTCCCCTAACACAGTAATCCTAACTGCCCTCCTTTCCACATCTTCTCTGACACCTCTCCACGCCCCAACAACCTCACATTCTTTCTCCCCCTTCCCTATTGCCTTTCCCACCCATAATCCTCTCCTAGATCCTCCATCAGCTAAGTAAGAGGTTGCATGTGCTGGACCATTCCTAGGTCAGATGTTTGATCATTGGCAAGGCATTACACAAATGATGACTGGCCAGATCAGTGGATAATAGCTGGTGTCTAAAAAGACCCTGATCTGAACCTCCTTCTTTATCCTTCACCCAAACTTTCACAAAACCCATGTCCACCAGAAAGACTCTTCTGAGGAGATGCTATGAAGCTTATCCCTTCTTCCTACAGAGAAGGGATGGTTGGTCCAGCCCTGATGGGGTTTTTGTTGGCATCATGAAGGTGGATAACTAGAAAACACCTGCAATAAGAGAAGGCTGTAACAAGAGAAGGAGCTTGCTCCTTTGGGACTAATAAATCCTAAAGGTTTAGGCCCATGTAACTTATGTTTCTCCTTTCTTTCTTCATTATTAAGGTTTCTCTGTCCTCCCCATCTTCCTTTCCTCCTCCTCCACTTCTTTCCTTTAGCTAATGAAGCATCCTTTGTTTTATTTCTTCTGACTAATTAAACGTCCTGACAGAAGGTAGTCGGATGCTGTGATCTGAGCCTTGCAAGGGAAATTTCCTTGGAGGAAAATGAGGGGGGAAAGCAAGGTTGATTTAAAAAAAAATACTGATGCCAAGAGAAAAACAGCAAGGCATTCTCAAGGTAAGAGAGAAACCAGTCCTACAGGAGTTTCCCAGCACCCAACCCAAGAAGCAAACTGATTGTCTTCAAAAGAGGAACAGGGTCTCCACCTGCTTTGATTGAAGATGGTCCCAGATGGCCTGTCCCTCACCATCTCCCCATCCCTGGAGGTGTTCAAGGCCAGGCTGGATGAGGCTTTAAGCAACCTGGGCTAGTAGAAGGTGTCCCTGCCCATGGCAGGGGGCTGGAACTTGTTGAACTTTAAGGTCCCTTCCAAACCATTCTATGATTCTATGATTCTATGATTCCATGTCTGTTGATGGGTGCCATGCAGAGGCACTGTGAAATACAGATAGAGCCATGGCAAGTTGGAGCTGGAAAGAAAACCTTGGCCTGGGCCAAGCAGGAACAGAGCAGGTCGTTATGAGTTGCAAGTCCTGCGATTCTGTCACCAGGCATGACAAGGGAGGACAGAAGCAATCAATGACATCAGCTGGGATGGAAATAATGAGTGCTACTGCCTGGGGCTGCTTGCTGTCCTACCACCTCATCACTCTGCCTAGCAGGGCAGAAGGATGCTCTTCCTCTTCTTTACAAGTTCACTTTGCTTCCTTCTTCTCTTCTATTTCCTTCTTTTGCTTTCTCCCTCATTTTTTTTTCTCTCCTTTGTCTTCATTCCTCTCTTCCTTTGGCAATTTGCCATGACATATTCTGTCTTTTCTTCTTGCTCTTAATGCATTTCTCTGGGTCTCTCCCCTTTATATTCGCTGCATTTCTCTCTTTCCTTCTCTGACTTTCTGCACAACACTGTGAAAAGCGAATTCATTCAAGTTGTGCTTGTTCCATTACCCTGCTCTGGCTCCAGGGTCAAACAGGCTCCAATTAGAACAAAGTCAAAAATGGTATTTCTTAATGCCATGCAGTTTGCCTGAGACCTTACAAGCAAGCTGTTCTTTCTGCTTTTTCCATCCCTGAAACTGAGAAAGGTTGTACAAAGTCTTTATAGGTACAACATCATACTAATAAAGTCACCAGAAAATTAAACCATTTATTTTGCTCCCAAATTAAACACAGACATAACAGTTTGGAATCTGGGGAGCTGGGATTTGTTTGTTTTTACTAATGGGTTTGCTATTCAGAATGGTTGCCTTGACCTTGACTTCCTGCATTAAAAACTCAGTAAATCAGAAAATTTTGAAAGTACTAGTTGCAAGGGGCATCTAGAGCTTTCTAATCCAATTTACTGCTTGGAGCAAGACTATCACTAACATCAGGTGAGGCTGGCCATGGTTGGT